CAAGCTCATCAACAGCACAGGCTCACACTCATTATTTAAGTGCAGACCAACCAAAAAAAAAAAAATACAACAATCCCTACCTCACGCCCGCGGCGGGGGGTGCCGGGATGAGAACACACTATTATGATAGTCATTATGTTTTTGTCAATGATCCTTAAGAATGCACACACCTCTAATTAAAATGTCGAAATCTTTAGAAAATAGGTGATAGTGGTTGCCCCCTATGGGTGGAAGACAGTCACACACACACACACACACACACACACACACACACACACACACACACACACACACACACACACACACACACACACACTGTGCAGGTTGCGTCGTCGGCGTCGCTGTACGACCTGAACACGCGGCTGCCCTCACCCATCAGCATCACGCGCTTCCGCCCGAATGTGGTGGTGGCGGCGTGTGTACCCTTTGAGGAAGACACGTGGCAGGAAATCACCGTTGGCGACAACATCACCATGGACCTGCCAGAGGTAATTGATGGCGATGTTGGTGATTGGTGATTGGTGATTGGTGATTGGTGATTGGTTCACTCTGTATTCGCGGTCAAATCTTGCACTCATCAAAGGTAAACTGCAATTTCATTTCCTCATCTCCACCACTCACGACCCACCGCGTGCACAACACACCCATTCAACCAACGCTCCAACCCATCCCCTCTGCAGCCGTGCATGCGGTGCTCGCTGCCAACAGTTGATCCGGACACGGGCAAGAAGGACCCGAAGAAGGAGCCAACGAAGACTCTTCAGACGTATCGCAGTAACGGTCACGGCGTCTTCTTTGGGCAGAACGCCGTCGTGCAGCAGACGACAGGTCCGTGGCTGCCCCGGGCCGCTTGTGTGCTTACTCTGTGTGTGTGTGTGTGTGTGTGTGTGTGTGTGTGTGTGTGTGTGTGTGTGTGTGTGTGTGTGTGTGAGTTACTGAATGGGAAACACGTACAGGCAGAGAGTGAGACTGTGCGCCTGCTGTTTGATTGACCATCTGTGACCGTCTGTACACTCGATTCCATGTGTTGTTGTCTTCAGGATCCATCCGTGTTGGCGACCGCATTTCTGTTCTGAAGCGAAAGGACGACGACCCCATTGCACAGCTCTACTGAACGCATCCATGCACACACACACACACACACACACACACACACACACACACACACACACACACACACACACACACACACACACACACACACGCGCGCGCGCGCGCGCGCGCGTGTATGCAAGTGCTGTCTGCGCGGTGCACTTCCCGCACGCTTTGTCACGTGGTGATCGCTTGTTCACTGTGGAGGTACAGCCTCTGTCGTTTCGTTACAACACAGCACATAAACGCAATCCACCAACAAAATAGCATGCCATTATCCATGCACACACACACACACACACAAGCAAACGAAAAAACAAACGAAAGGAGAGTGGAGGTTTGGAAGGGTTTCGTTTAGAGTTTTGCGATGATGGTTCGTAGAGTTTCCTTGTCCTGCGCTGAAACGCCGCGTGTGTGCAGAAGACTCGAGAAGAAGGACCGACATGCGTTCACACGGTCGCCCTGGAGGTGAAGAGGGAGAAGGTGAAGAGAAAAAGTGGTGGTGATTGGTTGGTGGTCGGGAAGAAGTAACTGTGCGGTTAGGTTGGCTGTTGTCAAAGCTGCAACCTGACGACTGTACACTCACACAAACACATACATACACTCACAGAGACACAGAGACACAAATACACACTCACATACAGACACACACACACAGACACAGACACGATTCCTGTGTGCATACGCCTGCACCTTTGTCTTGATGCCAACAACAGTCCTCTCCTGTCCAACGATGGCCACAAAGTGATGCACAAACTCGGGAGAGAACGGCGATTGCATGTGGTCCACAATCTGCAGTGGTGATCGTGATGGTGGACGTCGGTGCAGGTGAGAGGATGGTGATGTTGGCGTTGTATCAGCACGAGCAGATGGTGTGAATGGTGTGAGGTTGTCACCAGCAGTGCGTGTGCTTGTGCTTGTGTTCGCGTGTATGCACTTGTGTGTTGACACCCGAGTACAAACACACACACACGCGCGCGCACAAAGCAAAACCACCAGCACCACCACCAGCACCACCAGCACCACCACCACCGCGGCCTTGTTGTGCCACCTCAATGACGAAGAAGACGACGAGCGAGGTGTCGAGGTCGGCTTGCTTCTGCGCAATGTACGTGAGCACGGGGATGGCGAAGCCGAGCGACGCAAGATGCAGCAGCCGACTCATCAGCAGCCGCTGCACACGCGACTGCACAGGGAGAGAGAGGGAGGGAGAGAGAGAGACAGACAGACAGACATAGACACACACACATAGACACACACATAGACACAGACACACACACAGACACACACACACACACACACACACACACACACACACATAGACACACACACACACAGACATCACACGCGCACACACACATGATGGTGGTGGTGGCGTTAGGGCATGTAGGCAGTGTCACGTGTGGTGGCTGGATGACAATGATGATGTTACGATGACAATGCCACCTAGGAAGGACACAAAGCACCACAGCAGCTAACAACTGCACAGCATGTGTGGGCTCACACTCGGTCAAAGCACAACAGCAAGACACGCGACCACGCAGGCCGTATCTGCCTGCAAGCATAGTGTGTCACGTACGAGTGTGATTGCGTCAATGGCGTATTTGTATTCGAGCGCGCGTGTGAGGACAGCCAACACCTGCGGGCGGAGACCAGGGTGCCGTGTTGTGATCTGATCCAAGCGAGGGAAGGGGTGATGATGGTGATGGTGATGGTGGTGATGAGAGTGGTGATGGTGGTGATGGTGGCGGTGGCGGTGGTGGCGATGCAGGTGATGTTGAGTGATAGGTGAGTCACTTATATAACGGGGCCAGATCACAGGCACAGCAGAAACATACATGACAGCAATTATGGCATCACCATCACCATTGGCAGGCACCTGTTCCAGGAGCATGAGGCAGAGTGGCGGGGACGAGGGCACAAAGTTGAGGAAGCACGACGAGTCGCACAGCTGTCGCTCAATAAAAAGCACCAGCCCGCGCGCAACCACTGGTGGCGATGGTGATGGTGATAGTGGTGATGGTCGCGCGTGGTGTTGTCGTTGAGGATGGTCACGGTGAAGGGGAGAGGAAATGAGTGCATGATTGGGCTGGGCATCAAAGTTAGAAACACATACATAACAACAGCTACATGCAGGTGAACATCGTACTGAATCAGGGACACACACACACACACACACACACACATCACGCACACACACAAGCACACACGTACACGCGTTCGTACCTGGCAGGTGGATGTGTTTTGAGAGGTTGATCCACGAGTGTTTGGTGATTGGCTGCAGCAGCGAGAACACGCTCTCAAGCGTTTCAAGCGTTTGCGAGATCTTGTCGTGCGTTCTGGTGGTGGCGCGTGAACGAATGCATGCGTGCGCATGTGTGTATGTGTGTTGTGTGATTGTGTGTTGTGTGAGTGTGTGGGAGTGTGCATGTGTGAGTGTGTGGGAGTGTGCATGTGCGTGTGACAGTGAAGGCAGCGTGAACGACCACTGCGTATGAGTGCGGGGCTTGAATAGGGCATTGGTGTCGTGGTTGGTGGTGACATGATGCAGCACGGCTTTCTCACTCTTGCGTGATTTCCTGATCGGGCAGGACGCAGGTTGCAAACGCCTGATGCAAGCAACGCATGCAGAAGCTATGAGCGTTGGCTATGATGATGTACAAGCACAACACACACACACACACACACACACACACAAACAGATGAACGAGCACAGTGAAAATCCTGCACTGTATGCGCGCGTGTGTGTGTACCAGGAGGTATCTGCACTGCAGCGTGTGTTTCTCGTTGTTGGTCGAACCAACAAACACTTCCCGCGTGAGCATCTCTGAACACATCGCAGAGGCGCAAGGGTGAAAGGGGGCGGGGGTGACACGCATGTGTGCAGTTGTGTGAGATCGTGCTGGCGTGTGGAAAGTGAGTGCACCCACACGCGTGCACGTGTGCACGTGTGCCACAACAAACGCACCGAGCATGCCGCGGTTTTGCAAGTACGAGACCGGCGGCGTGTCATCACTGTGCATTCACACACGCACGCAAAAAGTTTGGGAGTGAGAAACGATGATTGTAATATTGTTGTTGTTGTTGTTGTTGTTGCAAGCAGATGCAAACACACGTCACCAACAGCAATGCGGCGTTGCCTGCAAGCAACCATACCCCCCCCCCCACACTCCACTCCTGCCAGACCTGGTGTAGAGGCGGTGGAGGGTGTCGACGTCGGCCATGGTCATCTGCTGCGTGTGCATCATGCGGGCAATTCGCGTCACCTCGTGTCCCGTCGTCGTTGCATTCAGCAGGAACGACACGTCGCGCACAGAGTGGCCCCTATTGATGATGATGATGTTGAGGATAAGCGGGGGGGGGGGGTTGTGATAAGAATTTTGTTTGCTTTTGGGGGGGGGGGGAGGTTGGCGACGGCGTGGGAACAGTGAAGAAGGACAGTCGCAG